TGAAATTAGCTTTTTCTTTTAATTGTTCAACCGTGGGGTAGTTTTTAAAATCCTTGGATGGATTTGAGGAAACATTAACCTTTTTTTTCAATTAGATCATGAGAATACTTGTATTTCAACGCTTCTGTTAGTAATTTTGATGTAAGAATTACCTGCTGTTCAATGAAACATTCTCATGACTACAGTAACCGTATTTTCTTCTTATTGTTGGTCACCTTAACTCTCTGCTCACTGTGTATTTTTCCCTCTTGATGAAACACCGTCTGAGAGGGAGCCTGAAAATGTTTGTTTTGTTTCTTGTTTTGGTGGGGGAAGAAACCTTAGTTTTCAAAAGATGTTATTTTTGGTCGTCAGATTAAATTGTTAAATTGGTATGATTAAACCTGTACTTCTTAATATATAATGTATTAACTCATAATGCCTTTATGAGCTTAACTCTCGATCTACTCAGTGGCCAAAGACTGCTGCCTTTCACCTCAACTTCTTTTCCTCTTCCTCTCTGTTTTTGGCACGTCTGTCCTTTCTTCTTTGAGTCATTTTACCCCCATTTCTCTCTAACAACACAGCATCTCACCTCCTCTAGTAGTTTGAGGTTCCTGTTGTACGTTTTGTCTAAAAAATACAACCCAGAAGTATTTGAGCACTGATTTCAAATTCTCTAAAGGTGGTGATAGAAACATTTGGTCTGTAGTACTGTAAGTCCTGCCTTCATTTTGTGTGAGTAGAGTTTATAAATAACAGACATTTTGGGTTGAGGTCCCTTTTCAAAAGAAGAAAAACTGTTACATCTCAGTTCATCACTAGTTTCTGCATAACTTGGCTTAACAAATTCAGATGAGTTTCACTACTTTCTGACACAAATATCAGTCTAAGCTTTGGTTTACATGACTTAATTATTTTTAAAGGATATTGCTATGAAATAAGATTGATTGACGAATGTGGGCTTACAGGGAGAAGCAGTAAAACTCTGAGAGCTCATAAACTGTATTACTTATGGCTTTTATCAGAACTGCCTAATACCTCTGTAGTGGGAAGAGTTAGGTGGTATTTAAAGTACCCCTGTAAGACTTGGGACGTTTTTAATGTCACTTTTCGTTGGAGAAGTTCACTTCTGGGAAAAGCTGTCAGTGAAACATAATTTCATAATGATGAGGAATATCACGACGCCAAGGAGGTGGTGCCGTGTCTTTGAGAAACTCCAAAACGCATTTGGCTTCCGTTAAAAGCCGGGTTTTAATGTTGAACTGCAGCTGGAGCAAAGCATCATTTATTTTCTTAAAAAATAGCTAATTTGTTCTAACCGTAGCCAGAGAGATGTATTTTAGCTGTAAACAAATGATGATTCTTTTCCTTCTCAGGTCCCAACGAAGCAGAAGAATTTCAGCTCGAAATGAGCGGGCTGCTGGCCGAGATGAACTGTCCTTATGCGTCGCTAACCTCGGGAGACGTGACAAAGCGCCTCCATAATCAAAAGAACTGTCTCTTGCTGCTCAGTAAGTTAAAGGGTGCTGGCCGGCACGTCTGGGTGGTGCAGGAATCGTAGCGCTGTTTCTTAGCGTGCTGGGATACTGCTTTGTTCACCACCCTATGTGAAAATCCGTTACCTAAAGTGATGAATTATTTTCCCCGTAATTATGTTGTGCTTTTGGGTCTCATGAACTTCCCAGTCACTCTGTAGCCAGTATGTGGTGGAAAATGTTCCGAGCATTAACCTTTTTCACGTTCACTAGCAAAATGCCTGTCCTGTTACTTCACAAAAGGTACTCTGAAGAGGGAATAATTTGAAGACTTCTGCCAGGATTTAGCCTCTGAGCTTTGTTTAAAGGGGTCTGAAAATGGCCACTGACTTGAGGTGCATCATCATCTGGGAGCCCCCGCCGTGATGACTGGCAAGGCGCAATAGGACTTGCATCGATTCTGACAACAACTGGGATTGTTGTGACAAAGAGAAAATGTTTTATCCCAACCCCCAGTTCTGTTGGTCATCTCCCTTAGTAAACAGCTTCACTGTCGCCTTCTGCTGACTGAAAAGACCTCAGCAGTAGCCACGGTGATGTCTTCCCTTTACTTTCCCACTCAGCAGATCTCAGTACCTACATTGGGTTTATTCCTGCTTGGGACATGTTAGAGGAGAAGAAATAGTACTGAAATTTGGATGAAATGTGTGATGTTGATGCATATTTAAAAAAAAAAAAAACAAAACCCACAACAATTTTTACAAGTGTCAGAGTTGGAAATTGTAATACTAATCTTAATCTGGTCTGAAATTCAACATAAAATAATGTTTTATTTGCTTCCTCAGTAGCTGCTGATTCTTCAGCTTTTCAAACCAGGAATTTCGTTCTGCCCTCAGCTGAGATGTAGGAAATGGATTGCAGAGTAGGTTCCTGTGCTTTCACAGTAGGAGAAAGATGAGTAGTAAGACTTAATCTGAATTTGTTTTGATGGTATGTTCAAAAATGTCAGCTGGAGAGAGGTAATTAGTGCATTTAAGACATTCTGTAGCTCAAACAACCTGCCCTTCGGCTTGTGCTCTGCAGGGCAAGATTCGCAATAAATTTGTCCTGTCTGTGACACAGGGTTTGTCCCGGCGGGCCCCTGTGGTGTGCGCTTTGGTGATAAAGGCCACGGTCAGGGGCTGAACGCTGGTGTCCCCTCTGGCAGGAGTACGGCGTTTACTGCCAAATGCGGGACGGAAATAGGTGCCAGACTCCCTTGTTGTGTGCCATGATAGTTGCACAGCTTTGTTTACCCCCAGTAAGCCGACTTACTGGGTATCCTGGTGGATGTGAGGCGTAAACCCAGATTTTTTCAGGAGAAACAGAATAACCCTCTTTGACGGAATGCCAGTGTACTTTACGTTTTACTGAAGTGCAGCACGGTTTATGGCGGTTGGGAGACGTGGCAGCATTGCTGGGAGAGGAGAGCGCCAGAGGAACAGTCAGGGTTGCCTTGGTGGGCAGCACCGCTAGAATAGCCTATGAAGTACTGGCGTCTGCAGAAATGAGAAGTACAGGAGTTTCAGGTTGGTTCGGAAGAAATCTGCAAAAAATAGTCACTGTCTGGAGAACGTTTATGTCTTGCAGTGGTAGACTGGAAAATGTCAGTCTTTGTCAGAGGAGGCTGAAGGTAACTTAGGTGATCTCTGAATTCTGGAAACAAAATCCTGCTGATAGTTCCTTTTTGAGGAGGTCCTAACAGAGTGTAAGTAGTTGAAAGTGGAATTTAAGAAAAATCTGTGTAGAGTACTGTTGAAATAAAAAGGATTCTTCACTGCTTTACACATTTTAATAATTTTTACAATTTCTAAAGTGTTCTGTGTCTTTGGCAGAAGACGTTCTAGAGATCATTAAAATGCTTCGTTCTTGCCTTAATCTTTTGATCTGTCCCAATGTTATAGGTAGTAAGCTGCTTTTGTACAGCCATGGGTTTACATCCCTGCCCCCAAGTCTGTCTTTATCGGTGCAGTGTCTATTTTTCAATCCTGATTTTTTGAAATAATTATTTACATTGCTGTTACGGTCACCTGGTCTGATTCATGATAAAAGTATTGTTAAACCTGTGAGGTTTCTTCAATCCAAACTTCATAAAGTTGTGACAATTGCAAGGAAACGCTGTGTGCTAAATTTATACCACCGTAACTGACCCCTAATGCTGAATTTTTGGGGGTATAATATGTTCAGAAGTTGTGATTTTAATATTTTTTTGTTTGTTTGATGAAGGAGTTCTAATGGGATGGCAGGCTCTTGCAGTTCTGATACTGAAGAGCACTGCAGGCGTTCCAGCTTGTTTCATCAGTTACTGCCTGCCTCTGGAATTGCCGTAAACCCGAATTCTCAGCAGTACTTTGCCAAGTGGGGTTGTGTCCCCACTCTGCGTCGTGCCTGGGGAAGCCGAGGGGATTCATGCGACGTTTCACTTCTCCCTGCTCGTTTCCTTGCTTTGTCTCCTAGAGCCTCGAGGAGCGCTTGCTTGCCTAGCTCAAACTGCGCATCCCAGTCCCTCATCCCGCTTATTTCCACGTTCCCG